AACTAGAACTGCAAACCATGCCACACAATTTGCTGATTAGGCTATGTCTGGTGTTATCCGCAGGCAACTTCTGATGGGCCTCCTTGTCTACGCTTGATGTCGTCAAGGGAAACATTGCTTCTGTGTGCCAAGAACTTTAGGTGAAAAGCTAGTTTTACCATATCCTCAAACTTGCAAGAGGATGCACCTTCTATATCAAACTGTACTGTTGCTTACATGCAAACTAATGTTATAAGATGTATAAATGAAACACCTGTTATCACTGTCGCGATTCGGTGAGTTCAAAAATTGTCAGGATGTTCTTGAATATTCTTTTTGGCACCTCATTATCCTTGTGGCTGGAATAGCGCCATGTTGTGTGTTTCTAAAGTGATGGTTGCTTGTCTTATGAGATGCTTTATTGGCCTGTCTCAGTTGTAACATGCCCTGATAATCAGGATACATGTAACGTTCGTGACTTTTCTGTTGAATGTTCCTGTCATCCAAAATCAACGTATGGTATTCTAGTAATGCTTTGAATGTGAAGTTGCTTGTCAATTTTGTCATATAAATTTTGAAGTTGAATTGAGGACTGAGTGTCGCTCGGGTGGCTAGCTGAGCAGGTGAGCTCGCTGCCCACCAGCGTTCGAGTCCTGGTAGGTCTTTTTTCTTTAAAGTTGAATTTGAAGCTGAAAACTCGACTTGTTTATTACACAGAAACAGATACTAGTATTTATGGTAAACATGGATTTATGTTTGAGTCGGTTAAAAGGACGTGCCAGATTGTTGCTTCAGCTTTTCTTGCCCTCAGCCGTTGTGGATCAGCTCCGGTTCATGGTTTTGCTCTTATCTAGTATTAATATGAAGGTACTGAATTGATCAGGTAAGATAACAATTAATAAGTTCGCATTATTGTGGGTTTGAAAACACCAACCGAACTATGTTTCCTTCCATTCCCTCTGCCTTTCTTTCCCTCTTGCAAAATTTGTTTTGTACTCCCTCTGTTTTTATTTAGTTCGCATATTAGCTTCGGTCAAAGTCAAGCTTTACAAACTTTGACCAAGTTTATAAACAAAAATATTAAGATATACAATAACAAATCAACAACATTAGATTTATTATTGAATGTACTTTCACATCGTATAGATTTATTATGATAAATGTCTATTGTTTTCTACAAACTTGGTCAAACTTTACGAAGTTTGACTTCAGTTAACTTTAATATGCAGAGTAAATAAAAACGGAGGAAGTAGTTTATCAGTGGTGATGTGCTAGGATGTATCCCCAGTCTTATTGAAGCTAGGTGGCGGAGAGCAATGAGAAATGAAAATAGATTGCACTGCAGCAAATGCTAGCTGGTTAACCTGTGGGATTTCTGTTTACTAGTACTAGTACTATATTTATTGACCTAGCAAAAATTTATTCTCGCTTTGCCTCCTTGGAGAACATTGTACCGCTCAGTTTCTCTTTTTCATCAGTGGAACTATAATGGAGCATATGCTCTTGTTCCAGAGCGTGAACATCAGATTCAACAAACATGAAAACGCTTGATAAAGTGTATCAGCTTACAGAAACAGGAAAACTAAATTTCCATTGGTGTCTGTTCGTGCTTTACCTCGTATTGAGGCTATATCAGACCACGCACCAGTCTCTTAACTACCGGTTTGCCACGACCATCATAGAGGCAAGTTCAAGTTTGAACTTGGGTGGTTGCTTTGGGATGGCTTCCATGACATGGTCAAGGAGGTGTGGGAGAAACCGGTGGCCGGGCATACCCCAACTCACAAATGGAATAACAAAATGCATGCATTACGCAAATTTCTTGGTGGTTGGGCTAGGCATACGGTGGGTATACTCAAAAAAGAGAAGCTTCGTCTTTCATCTATCATTGATGAGTTAGAAGCTTTGGCAGAGGTTAGACCTCTATCTGAGCATGAAATTGAGATCAAGAGTCATTCGAATGCACAGATAGATAGGTTGCTGTGTGAAGAGAACTCAAATGGTACCAACATTCTAACTCTCAATTTATCTTGAAAGGTGATTCGAATAGTAGAAATTTCCATGGAGTCGCCAATGGCAGACACCGGAAAAAAATTATTCATTCCTTACAACAGGACGAGGGCACGATTGAGGAGCATGAGCAACTTAAATCTTATATCACTAATTATTATAAAAAAATTGTTCGGAGCCCTAGAGGAAGGAAACTTCTCGATAGATGAGTCTCGAACAGATAACATCCCGTAGGTCTCTGATAAGGAAAACGGCCTTCTAACAGCCACATACTCCGAGAAAGAAATTAGAAAGGTGGTTTTCCTAATGAAGCATAACAAAGCCCCGGGACCGGATGGTTTTTCCGCTGAGTTCTATCAGAACTTTTGGGAGTCATCAAACCGGATCTTCTACTTTTGTTTAGCCACCTACATGCTAGCCAATTAGAATTGTTTCGCTTAAACTTCGACGAGATTATTTTATTACCTAAGGTTAATGAGGCTGAAAGGATACAACAATATAGACCTATTTGCCTCCTTAATGTTAGTTTTAAAATATTCATGAAGGTTGCGACTATTAGGCTAAATTCGGTTGCTGAACACGTGATTCGTCATTCACAGACTGCATTTATGCAAGGTAGACACATCTTGATGAAGTTGTTATCCTTCATGAAACAGTCCATGGATTACATCGGAAAAAGTTGAATGGGGTGGTACTCAAAATAGACTTTAAAAAAGGTTATGACAAAGTCAAATGGCCCTTTCTTCAACAGACTCTCAGAATGAAAGGATTTTCTGCAGAGTGGCGTGCTATGATCCATAGCTTTGTTTCTGGAGGTAGTGTTGCCATTAAGGTCAATGATGATGTTGGACATTATTTTCAAACAAAGAAGGGATTGCGACAAGGTGACTCGGTATCGCCCATGCTATTCAATATAGTGGCGGATATGCTAGCGGTCATAATTGAGCGTGCGAAGGTTGATGGTCAATTTGATGGGGTAGTAAATCATATAGTTGATGGTGGTCTCTCTATATTTCAATACGCTGACGATACAATTCTCTTCATGGATCTTGACCTTGAGAAAGCGAGAAATCTGAAATTAATTTTATCAGCATTCGAGCAACTCTCGGGTCTTAAGAGCAATTTTCATAAAAGTGAATTGTTTTGTTTTGACAAGCCTCAAGATTAGGCCCACCTGTACGCTGAACTGTTCGGATGCGGGTTGGGTTAGTTTCCAATCACATATTTAGGGATACTGATACATTATCGGAGACTCACAAATGCTGAATGGAAACACGTCGAGGAGAGACTGTAAAAAAGGCTTAGCAGTTGGAAAGGTAAATTGTTGTCTCTTGGTGGAAGATTGGTCCTCATAAATTTAGTACTAAATAACATGGTACTATATATGATCTCCTTCTTCCAGTTGCCGAAAGGAGTTTTACATAGATTGGACTATTTTCAATCAAGATTCTTTTGGCAAGGAGATAGCGAGAGAAAGAAATATAGACTAGCTAAATGGAGTGTGGTCTGCCGTCCCAAAGACCAAGGCTGGTTGGGCATTCATGACCTTGAGGTTAAGAATAGGGCCCTTCTTGGCAAATGGCTGTTTAAATTACTGACCGAAGATGGTGTATGGCAAACCCTTCCGAGAAGGAAATATATGGGTTCCAAGGCGGTATCCCAAGTATACTGGAAGCCCGGAGATTCTCACTTTTGGGCGGGTCTAATGGCCACGAAGAAATATTTCTTCTCTTATGAATCCTTTTCGATTAAGGACGGCTCGAAAATTAGATTCTGGGAGGACAAGTGGCTAGGGAATGCCACACTCCAGGAACAATATCCGGCTCTATACAACATTGTGCGTCACAAGGGTGATATTATCGCCACGGTAATGCAATCATTTCCACCAAATGTGGCATTCAGAAGAGATTTAATTGGACCCAGATTCCAATCGTGGTACATCCTGCTACATCGGTTGTCCACGGTGCAATTGTCACATGGGTCTGATATATTTCGATGGAACCTACATGGGAATGATCAATTCTTAGTGGAGTCTATGTATAGAGCATTAATCCAGTCTGATGTGCCAGTTGATAATAACAAGAAGATCCGGAAGATGAAGATACCTCTGAAGAATAAAATCTTTGCATGGTATCTTCGTCGCGGAGTCATTCTTACTAAAGATAACCTTATTAAGAGAAATTGGTATGGAAGTCCGCAATGTGTCTTTTGTCATCATGATGAGACAATAAAACACTTGTTCTTTCAATGCAAATTAGCTCGTCCTATATGGTCAGTCATCCAAATAGTTTCTGGCTTGTATCCTCCTTGTATTGTTGCTAATGTATTTGGCAACTGGTTACATGAGATTGATCACAGGTTTAGAACTCTTCTTAGGGTGTGAGCGCTTGCCGTTATTTGGTCGCTTTGGCTATGTAGAAATGATAAGGTTTTTAATAATAAAAGCACTTCTCTGATGCAGGTTATCTACAGATGTACCGGGACTCTGTTTATGTTCCTCTCTACAACGCGTGGAGAATCGAGACCTGTTTACGGAGGTGTGTACACGATTAGAGGATACGACGAGGGATATTTTTAGCCAACATGAGTGGCAGCATGGTCTTAGGATTGGCCCACCTCCGCGTTAGCCGTTATATAGACTCTACATATTTCTTAGTATTTCGCATTTTTATTTTTCTTTTGTGCGAGAGGATTTTATTTGTCTATGTGCATCTTAGTTGTGCAGAGGCCGGGTATAATGCTTAAACCTTTTAAAGCCCCCCTTTTCGAAAAGAAACAGGAAAACGTTGGCTAAACTGCATCATTCTTTTTCGCCATACCGGATGCTACATGATTAGTCACACAACATTTCTTCCACAAGAACATCGTTTTCCCTAAGCTCTCTCTAGAGTAGGCCTTTTTGGCGCATGGATGCGGTGTTGCACACTTGGACAGAGCGGCAACAATGTCGTTTGTCTAGATTATTATGAGTTCTTTTTCCAGACTGCTGGCACGGAACAAACGTTAACTTACTAACTATCTAATCCTTTAAGTTTGGCAAAGCAACTCTGCATGGATTCGATAATCTCCTGCGTCATACGGTCACCAGCAGCCAGCTTGTACTGCTCAAACTTCGCTTCTTCGCACTCCAGCGCTGCTTTCTTGCAGGCCCTGATACTTCCTGGATAGGAGGAGATCGATGGTCAGCTCTGAACTGCCACAGTTGGCCTACCAAAACATTCCTTTCTGTTAGGGATCACAACAAAATAACTAGTACATCCAAGGATATGAGGATGAGCATCAAAACTATACATGGAGTAGCATCATCAGACCAAAGTTTGCGCAGAGACAAAACACTCAGAACCTAAGTCTGGGCTCTATACATGGAAAAACATACATCATCAGGCCAAAGCTTGTGCAGGGAATACATCAAAACCAAGTCTCGGGGTCTCGGTGAGATAAATAGTTTCAACAAACTCAAAAAATACATGCATGCATAAAAATTAGAAAGGAGGTCATGTGATTGCTAACTGAACTTTACCTTACACTCAAAAGTACTAAGAAGCAGGTTGTTAAATATACTCATTGTGCGGCAAACCGATTGTTAAAAAGAAAAGAACAAAGACATGAATTATCCACTCACCACTCACATCCAAGAGGTTGAACGACACTGGGATCTTCCCAATGCTCCTCACCATTGTGATAGCAGCCCACACTTTCTGGTGATCTTCACGCGACACTCGGATTACGCAAAGCTTCGTCACAGGATTTACATACTTCACTGCAGAAGATGACCAGAGCTCAGAACTACTTCTAAGAGTCTAAACAGAACTGGAAAACACACTGCAGACACTTATAATGCTGCCTAGAGGAATTGATGATGCTTTAGAAATTATTAGCACCTTGCAATGATCCAAGAGATGCAGCTAGGCCGCATTCCCCAAAATTGAGCTGGATGCTGTCTCTGATCACTTTGGTTATGTTGAACTGGGTGAGGATGACAGGATCAGCCTCTCCTCTGCTAGCGTCGATGAAGACCTCCATCACCATGTACCTGTTCTTGAAATGAACCATTGTGTAAAACCACTTGTGCCCCTGCTTATCGTAACCTGGATTTTCATGAAGATGAACGATGATCAAAATTCAAACAACGGCACCTCTTTAAGAGAACCAATGCAGTAAGGAGCATAGCCAGGTCATTAAAAGAGTTATCTTCGCCACTATACCATCAAAAGTACACACCGCTACAGTTTTCCGTTTGGGTATTGAGGTTTCAAAAAAATTCAAAGAACCACCCTTGTTCTTCTGTTTTGCAAACCTATAATTTACATTAGGCAATACACATAAACAAAACACCACCCACGATTTCATGTGTTCAAAAAACATACCCATCTAATAGAGACTGGTAAACAAATGCAGTCAAGGCTAATGACTATTTACGATTCCAAATAAAAAAGGCATTTGATCTAATAGATAAGTCCACTCATTCCTCACTGCTAAGTCCTAACTTGCTGCTATGAATCAATGGGCTTTTATAATGGATCATGTTCCGTTCTCATAATCAGATTCTCAGACGGTGGAAACTCGACATAACACTAGCAGATTCATGGAGCCAGGATTCGAGAAAGTCCCAGGCCAAAATTCAAGTAGCTAGAAGTTAGAACTATTACAAAAAGTACTCCATGGCAAAGCATAAACAGATTAAAGGAATATGGCTCCATGAAACAAATTTGAACTTCAACACTTGATGATCCAACAAAGTAGATTAAACATGACCAAGAAAACATCTAATAGAGCAGGGACACAAAAGATACTACCAGATCAAATCATTGATTTCACTGTTTGATATGAGCTTTACATGGCCTACAGAAAGAACCTACACCTTGAATAAACAGTATTTCTATAACATGAATTGATAAGAACATATATCAATGCAAGCCCTCAGAAAGAAAATTTGACAAATCAGGGAAATCACCTAGATAGACTAGACTAGTGCTGCGATAGTTAGGGGAAAAAACGACCAGGCTAGTGCTTGATGGGGATTGGGGTTGGGTCTTGGGGAAATCACCTGTTGATGGCAAGCTCGCAGAATCGCGGGTAGCGCAGCGGAGGGCCGGGGTCGAGAGGGGCCGGCGCTCAGAGCGGCGGCGCAGCAGTATAATAGAGGCGGGGAGCACTGGAACGTACGCAGTTTAGCAGGGCCGGAGTTGAGAGGGGCCAGCGCTCGGAGCGGCGGCGCAGCAGTAGTCCTAGCAGAGGCGCTCTGGCGCAGCGCGCGGAGGCAGCCAGGTTCCGGACCCGGACCGCGCCCCCAGCCCGCAGGCCGCGCCTGTCTGCTCCCCTCTCTGGGCCGTCTATTGGTGGAGAGTCTGGGCTGAAAGTGCGTGAGAAAGGATAGGTAAAATGGGAGAGCCTAAAAAAAAGGATAGGTAAATAGGCACTGGCACCCCGGGGTCAATCTCTCTCTCACACACAAAAAGTAAACGTATATTGTCCTAAAAATAAGTAAACGTATGTTCACTGGTCGCAGATTTCAATGTACCACTCGTTCATATCTAACCTGTGCTATATGTTTGCTAATGGTGTGTTTAGTTGACGAACCAAGTGGGACGGAATGTAATGGTTCCATTCCTCTAGAATGGGCCGGTTCCGTTCCCGTGTTTGGTAGAAGCAATTAGACGGAATGGAATGTTTACGTTTTATTGTTTGGTAGGAGAGACGGAATGGAATGTATTTGGTGTATATTATCACTCGTATGCTTGTGCTTATAACAATTTGATGAACTTTGACATCTAATGACGCATACGGTCAAAATCATCAACTGAAAATTGCTAAAAAAATCCTATAAACATTGAATTGGTGTTCATACGCGCATACAGATGGGGCGGGTGCTACTGCTTGCCGAGATCCCAATTGGCAGACCATCGAATGCCCATGCCGGCTACCCCTTTTGGCCGATGTGCCTCTATTCCATGCGAGCCGCCGCCGCCATTATTCCTTCTCGCTCCTCCCTGTCTCTCTCTTACCTGTGAGCCGTTGCTGTCGCCAGGAGCGTCGTTGCTAGCCCGCCGCCGCTGTGGAAGGGAGCGCCGTTGCTCTTTCCGTCCGCCGCCACCATACACGGGAGAGAGAGAGAGGTGAGGCTGCCTGGCGGTGTCTCAGATCGAGAGCGCGAGACAGACGAGGGGTGGCGGCGCCGAGAAGGAAAGGGTTTCGGTGTGAGTGAGAGTCACGGGAGGGGTGAGAGCGAGCGGTTCTGTGTCGTCCGGCCGATTCGGAGGTATGACTTCATTCCGCATAATCAGCGAATATGTTGTTCCATGGAACGAGTGGGTTCCGATTCGTTCGATGGACCGAACACGGGAATGGGCCCTCGGGACGGAACCAACCCATGACATTCCACCCGATGATTGAAACCAAACACACCCTAAGTGTTTGGTTGATGTGGAGCATCCTAGAGTCATCCCATGGACCTACCTTTGCCTCCTACGACACCAGATGGACCAATGACTAGAGCTCGAGCAAGGGCTATCGAAGCTAAGGTGGACTTGTTCCTTTTCGAACTAACACATTTCACATGTGAGACATGGCTACTATCTCAAGCGGAGACCTTGTGTGTGATCAAGTACTTGAAAGGAAGCCACGGAGCAACTACATCCAATGGACAAGATGGCAAGGACATCAAGTGCGAGGACCAAGAGGAAGAGCTACCAGGAAACCACAGCCACCGGATGACCGGTACTCATGTGTCGCCCTAAGTTATGACTGTTACATGATGAATATTATCCATCGTTACCACCGATCCAATGCCTACAAGCTTTTCACATATTGTTTCTTACTAAGTTACTGTTGTTCCTGCTACTGCCACAATTACTATAGAACTATTGCTGCTACCGTTACTGTTACTATTACTATTATTGCTACTGCTATCAAACTACCATACTATTGTGCTACTGATCACTCTGTTGTAGATATTTAGTCTCCATGCGTGGTTGAATTGACAACTCAACTGCTAATACTTGCAAATATTCTTTGCCTCCCGTTGTGTCGAATCAATAAATTTGGGTTGAATACTCTACCCTCAAAAACTGTTGCGATCCCCTATACTTGTGGGTTATCAGAGACTACTTTGACACCTCAATGGCAACTCTCGAGGATGATATTCGAGCCATGATGGACACCCGCTCTTCTACAATGCTCTCATCATCGAGAAGGCGACACTCAAGCCGACACTCTTCGGATACATCTTCAGATTCAAGTCACCCAAGACGTTGCTCGCATCATCGTCAAGACCATGAAGATCGCCAAGCACCACAAAACCCATTTCATGGTAATTGCTTGCAAGGCCGCCTTCAAGAGCGCGAACAACAACATCGACAAGAACAAGCCACCGTGGACCAAGAGCAAGCTCCAATACGCCAAGATCACCAAGTAAACTAAGATGGCGACACCATTCGACTAGAGCAACAACACCGTAACGAGCAAGCCCTTGAAGCCCAACATGCTCTTAATGAAGCAATCCAAGTCGTCCGCACACGTAATCGGGAACAAGAAGAGGCCATCCGACGAGAGCGACAAGAAGAAGCCGCACGCCTCGAGGAGCGCCAAGAAATGAGGAACCATGCAAGAATACCACGTCCTCAACGTCAAGCTAATAAAGCGGAGCATGTGCAACAAGCAGTCAAAGACCCTCAACCACGGCAAGAGTGCCTTCACAATCGACCCGCATGCATCAAAGAACAACGCTATGACAAGCTCAAGTTCACCTTGCCTAAGTTCTCCAGAATCAATGACCCCGAATACTACCTTTCATGGGCATTGAAGGTCGACAAGATCTTTCGCTTACACAACTATGAAGAAGAAAAGAAGATCACCATGGCATCTCTTGAGTTCCAAGACTATGTCCTCATTTGTTGGGAGCAAGTCATTGAATGGCGTGAAGCAAAAGGTGACCCACCAATCACAACATGGAATCAAATGAAGGATGTCATGCGAGTGCGCTTTGTACCCACGTACTATAGCCACGACCTATTCAAGAAATTGCAACTACTCGAGCAAGGCACCAAGTCTATTGAAGAGTACTACAAGGAAATGGAGATTGCCATGATTCGAGGCAATGTCACCGAAGATGAGGAGCAAACTATGGCACGATTCTTGAATGGACTAAACCATCCTATCAAGAAGATTGTGGATTTCCAACCGTATTAATATTTGAACCTCCTCGAGCTAGTGCACCAAGCTACCAAGGCGGTGTGACAAGTGCAAGATGACTATAAATACGCCAAGTACTCTTCCAAGACCTACGGTTCATACAATCAAGATTCAACGACTACAACGCCTTCTACCTCGACAAAACCTACACCAAGCAACGGCGGCAAGTCAAGTTACAAGCAAACTTTGACATCTTCACGTTGTCCTCCTACTACAAGCAATCTCAAGCCGAGAGCTTCATCATCACCTACTCCAACGGATGAGACCGTCCAGACAAGTTCCATCAAGTGCTTCACATGCCAAGGCCGAGGCCACAAGACATTTGAGTGCCCCACTCGGTGCACCATGATTGCCAACGACGACGACACCTATGACTCCATGAGTGAGGAGAAATGGAAGCACTTGAGCACGTGGCCATGCACTGACGAGTGAATGAAGACGAAGATGACCAAGTATTTTGTGACAATGATTTGAGCCCCGCTCTTGTTGTCTCCAAGGTCTTGACACTTCAACATCAACAAGACGAAGACCAACATTGACACATCTTCCACACCAAAGCGGGCATCAATGGACGTTCCATGAAGGTCATCATCGGCGGAGGAAGTTCCACAATTTGGAAAGTGAAGAGCTATGTTCCAAGCTACAATTGGTCAAGACGAAGCATCCTCGTTCCTACAAGGTCCAATGGCTTAGTGACTCCGGCACCATTCAAGTGGAGCACACCATTCAAGTCTCCTTCAAGATTGGCGCATACAAAGACACATTGGAGTGTGATGTGGTTCCCATGTCCGTTTTTCACCTCCTACTTGGACGACCTTGGCAATTTGACCGCGACGTCATCCACAATGGGCAAACCAATCACT